GCGTCGCCTCAAAATAGTGCTCGAAAAAATCATCTCGCGGTACATACTCAATATTGCTGTGCGACACTGTCGGATTAACGCTACACGACACGTTATATAGGGGCTGGCTAGAGAGATAATTCAGCGTCCATCCCTCTGCACTCGTCTGTCAATTTTTCCAAAAACATATTATTTCGCACTGTCGGCACGGATTTAAGCAAGAACCAGCTGCTTTGGAAATAAGATAAATGGGGAGTTTTTCTTAAGTGGGGAAACAATTTTTTTTTTATACAGAAACATGAATATATTACAATCTATAACAGATTACGATATATAAATGGATAAATCCGAATTTCACCGAACGTACAAATCTATCAAATGAAATCGCTCCAATTCGTCATTCTAAATTTATGGAATTTTATTTTCTATTACTTTCTCAGCGTAATTCGATGTAATGCAATGCACAAGGTAAGTGTGAACAATTGATAGTAATGTCCTGGCAAAATTATAGAATTTTTTAAACGTAAAATGTATGCGTAATTAAAGTATAGTGTAGTATAGTATAACGTGTGAGAAAATAATGTTGTTAGGCGATTTCCGAGTGCAAAGGGACAAGGACGTTGCTAGGGCTCGTGGAGATTTCGCGTCAAGCACGGCTAATAATTGATTTATTACTCCGACAAGCCTCGATTAATCGTCTTCTAGAGAAACATTCGACAGGTGTTTGCGTTTGGCGTAGCGTAGACGTCTCCTCTCTTGCACAAATGACCAAACGTCCGTTCGATGAATTTCAATTCAACTCAATACCTCATGAATTACGCAGATTTCCCTTAAACACGATTTAAATTCCACTTACCGTTTATACACATGCGATTTACATTTGTAATCTAAATTCAATCGTTAATGCCCTGGATTTGAATTCAAATATTAATAATTTGCATGCAAATGCAGTCGCCGGCAGCTTGAGTACAAATCGAGTTACCGAATCATTTACATTTTGCACGGAGATGTTACACAACGTCGCATAGTAAATCTCTTTCCGTGAGATTTACTCGTGACTCGAGTATAAAGAGAGTTAATGACTCCTCGAGTATCCTCCAGACATCTCGTGGATATTCCTCGGGAAAATTAATCCGTCTAATTAATTCGTTCGAGGAAATATAACGGATATATGTGTATAGATAGGATTTAATATTTTCAGAATATATCACACAGGGAGGATTCGGGCAAGGCAAGCGACGATTAGCAATATAAGTGAACTCGCAGGTGAGTTTGGTCGTTTGTGCATGCTCACGTGTCTCCCCTACGGCGTCGGCCTACAGACTTGAGTCTCATTATCAAGTTATAGTCGCTTATTATCAAGAGATATCGAAAAACGTCTATAAAGATTCGTAATACGTGGTACATTAGAAATATCCTTGAACGAACAACACCTCGCCGATAAACACGTGCTGTCTTTGAGAAACTCGCGAACTCATCGTAATTAGCTTAGTAGCGGCTTAATTAACCCCACGGAGAACGATTACTTTCAGTCATGCCTCCTATTATTTCCCTTTTATATTCTCCACCATTTCTCACTAAGTACACGATCGAACTGTCCTTTCTCCTCAAGCTTCGCTTGTCTTTTGTGCGCGTTTGGTTACAATACAGAATCTCCGAACGAAGAGACAGTTGTGTGTGAATGATGTGTGTCGATGTATATGTGTATGTGTGTGTGTGTGAGTGTTTAAACTTGGAAGGATGTAACGATGATTTCCACTGATCGCAGACCAAACAGCGAATTGATTTTCCCTTTCCCTACGATGATCATTAATCGATCGAATGCATCTGACGTTTTATTTTTGTCGTAAGAAGACGCCTCAACCGTGTCTCGGTGTGTATAATTTTGTTATTCTTTTTATAAGTCATTATTAACAACTTTGAATATTACACGGAACGAATGGAAGAGATTCGTTAAGAGATAAATTTTACACGAGTCGAATTACATACCATGTGGAATTTATTTGAATAGAGAAAAACATGAAACTGAAAAATATATTCGCTAACATTAATTGAACAAGCCAATTAAAAAAAAAGTATATGTATAACATTAATTAAATAAATAAAAAAAAATATATATATATATATTAATCAAATAAATTAATATCATGATCGTGGAAAAAATTATGTAAGGTCAATTTTTTATCCGTCTAATATTTCAAAGCCTCAAAATTCTGACGTGTTCCAAATTCTCGAATGATTGCGTCTTTTTTGAGAAATCACGATTGAGTCATCTCGCTATAGATAAAGGGTTTCGATACCAAATATTAGAAACTTTATAAGAATGATGATATGTAAGATTCATCAGAAGCTGAGAGATATTGCTTGGAGTCGAGACAAACGCCGCTACGACGATTCATTCCAGTAACCATCTCGCGCCAATCAATGACAGACACGTTATCACAAGCATTGCAAACATCACTATCAATAATAATGTCGATCTCTACGATAATAATTCCACGATTATTCCTAATTGTTCTCGTTACATTATTGATATCCAACCAAACGAAACAACCAAACAAAGATACCACTGTTTCCGCGTTAACTGAAAAAATATCAAACTTGTACTTGCGACCTCGGTGTCTTGGCGAGAACCGCGTTCCGCCCCGAGATATTTATAATTCGACGCGAGAGGGTTGAACTAGTCCGACCAGGAGCTGAAAGGGATAGCAAGAGAGGCTTCACGTGGATACCACAGCTATCATCATTTCAAGCTTAAACAGAGAGTGATTCTCTAGGGGAACACCCTCGGCGCAAAGGGTGTCGTCTCTTTTTTTATGTGTGTGCGTGTATGTTGTTTTTTTGCTCTTTTTTTCTTTATCTTTATCTTTATCTTTATCTTTGCACGAAGCCGACCCGAAAACAACGCAAGTAGCTAGTATTAGATATCGCTCGAGTTCGTCTAGTAGCACTTGAAACGATACTTAGGGCCCGTGTGTTCGGCGACGAAGGGCCCCTGTTCCCTTATCGACGTCAGAAGAAGCCAGCAGCGTCTCGCAATGGTATGATGATTCGTGTCGGGAGATTGACCGCGATTTCTTTCCCCTGTTTCGTTTCCCTGTCTCCACGGATACAGACGAATCTCCCTAGCAGATGCAGCCGCTCTCCCCCTCCGACTCGGAGCCGTTCTGCATCGGCGATTGATTCTGCAAGTCGACAGCTGCTTTTGTCTGTTAAGGCGTGTGCATTCTTATTCAACTTCAAACGGTAATCTCATTTCGCTCTCGCTCTCGCTCTCTCTCCCTCTCATATACACACACATACACATTTCGACGTTTTATGGAAAAGATAATTAAATCCTGTAGTCCTGACTACGATACAAATACATCGAAATAAAAATATCAAGATAAATATCGGATTGAGGTAAATTAAAATCAAGCGCGCGGTGTACATTGGGAAATCGAAAATTGAGAAATATTAACGTTCCAAACTGAAACATATTGAAATCGATACAAGCAACAAATTAAAACATGTCGAAATTGAAAAGCAGATTATACACAAATATATAGCTTGATATGTATGAGTAAACTGAAAGAAACGACATATGTATTAGAATTATATACATGTAAAATCTGAGATATAAATTGAAAAGTACAAGGAGACATAACAGTTTTATATACTCCTAAAATATGTACATGTGTGACACGTTTTTCGTTAACACCTCCTTTTCTTGCGTATGACTCTTGATATATATTCGATAAAATTCTACTCATTCAATTCGGACGGGATTACTCAGTTTCTGTTGTCGCGCCGAGAAAAGAAAAAGGGTGTAAATGTGTTTTGAAAAAGAAGATAGCAAGAACTGATGCAATTTTTGCAATTTGGCAATGTTATTGGCCAATAAATATATTATTGCACTTGGTAAACATTTGATTGGTAGCCTTAAACTTAATCAATGCATGTCGATGCTTTCGATTAAACGTTTACAATGAGTCCATACAAACCATGATAAAGATACATACAATGCAGTCCTTAGTGATACTACGACAATGACAAATTTTCCTCAGCAATTTTTCCTAGCATTATCCATAGCATTTTTAGATATCCATCGGTCAATTATACTTGATAATCGCTGCTGTCGAATCGACGACCTCTCGTGATTAATTTTCCCACGATTTACCTCTAATTAATAATCCTTCACAGCGATATAATAATCTAACTTGATTGTGTACGACACACCACGATTTAATTTCTGCCTATCAAAGCTAAAGAGTGACAATATCGAAAAGCGTATAAAAGTCCAAAAACGGGACGGAGAGTATCATAACGTTACGTGTTATGAGCTTTTTAAAAGCATAGAGGAAGTGTGCCGCGAAGCAAAATATCACAGAATGTAGAACGAAAAATAGATATGTTCCATCGAAAACTTGGAAAAAGGTCGGATTAAAATACGACTAATTCGAAAATTTCCTAGTGCTACAAAGTAATTAACCATCGATATATTATCAACTCAACTCGATACAAACAATTTCTTTAAAAGCACTAAAATATTAAAAAATATACATGTATATATTAATTTTTTTTCTACAAACTTGTCGAATTAATTTTCGTAACTTTTCTCTTCCAATAACTACGTTTGACAGTCTCCTCGAAGGGCTAATATGAGAAAAGACGATTGAAGAAAAAATATGCAAGCCTCAAGCAAAGCAAAAAAGGAATGAAATGCACTCGAATAAATATTCTCAAAAAACGTAAGTCGGAAAATAAGGGAGAATGGTACAGAGGGGAAAGCAAAGAATACGGCGGGCAAGAAATCAATGTAAAAATAATGTTTACTGATTCCTTTTTTATATAAATTAAAACGTTACAATGGTAGACGAATTGTCAACAAATGAGATATTAAAATTAACTTAATAGAAATCAGAGTTTTTTCTTTCCTATCGTTATTCAAATTATCGTTCTATACAACTTTAAACATAACATTATTCCTTTCTTTTTCGGTTTTCTTTTTGCGTAAATATGTTAATGAAATCATGTTGATTAAAAAAAAAAAATGAATGCACGAGTAAGGTCTCGACGAAAAGAAAATATGCAATGGTTTGATTATTACACGTTTAAGTTCAGGACTGTACAGGATTGTTTATATTATTGTACTCTTAAAGTATTCGTAGGAAAAAGATATAGTTAGCTGCTAATTATCCACAAATACCGTAGAAAAATTGTTTCCAAATTCTCTTTCGCCTTCGATTTATATATGTATGTACTTCAAGTTTCGTTCAGCGATAGTTAACATATTGCGCGTCGGGGCTTCTTTCTTTTTTTCTTTTTTATTACTTTTTTTTTTCTACAACGTCCGATAGAGTAAGAATCTGCACTATCAGCCTTTAGAGCTTAATTCATTACAATTAAAAGAGTCTAAGGTAATTTATTATTGAGATAATTATGTCGACGTGACTGCATTTACGCAACGCGTATATTCTACTATTCGTAGACTTCGAACCAATTCAATAGCGTCGAAATATCGTGGATTCAAATGCAGCAACGTATCATATATATTTCTCTCGTGTATTGCAAATAGGATAATTAATAATAATTCGTTCTTGAAAATTGCGATAAATGAGAGACGCAAAAGACTGGCAGACTCTATCATCCGATCAATCATAACGTGAGTTTGAGCAACTATCGACGTATATTTACCTGTATGCGTAAAAAAAAATAATATAGATCAATTAAACAATATTAGCAAGCGAGATAGACTTAGGTGAACTCTGAGACATTCATAAAGGCCGTCTTAACCCTCGTAGCTCTGACTCACACCATACGAAGAGGAGGAAAGTCCTGGTCAAGCTAGAAAATTTCTCACCCAAAAGAAATGCCCAAAATATTCATAGCGTAATTTGTTTTATATTTATAGCGCGATTTATAGCATACGAGAATTAAGAGATACGATGAATGTTCCAATCGTTATCTCGATAAATCTAAATAATAAAAATTACGAGTCATCGTTTTTAAACAATTGCAGTCGTTGCACGCTGTTAATTTCAATCGTCGGATGATTTCGCCCGGCGCGATCATTTTTACGATAGAATGTCAAGCTTTCTACAACAACTCCTTAATTCGCTTCTAATTCGCAGGCCGACTCTCAATCTCCGGCTTTTCGCGAGCTCCTAAAAAGGACGCCCGTACTTTCGAAAGAGGTCACATTTACGGCTGAAAGGTCTAAGAGGCCTCAAGATTCAGGGCTGAGAGGGTTAACAGCTCTTTCTACGAGTCGGCTAACATACGGAAACACGTCATTGTGTAAAAGCAGTCTTAAAAGCTACTGTGTGAAGCTGTACTTTTTTTTCTCGTTTTAATAAGAAATCGTTGCTGCTCAGTGCGCGCGGTGACCCCCCGCGTGGTCCCTTAGGCCTCGCGAGGGGCACAGGCCGAATGCAATCGGTATCCTATATACGACCTAGGTCATTAACTTATAAGTTAACTTAGCTCAGTGTGTCTTGTCTACCGATCAGGGCATCGAACGGAAATAGAATTACATCGCTTTATGCTCCGGGGGCGAGGCGCGAATGAATAAATTAATATTATTAATATTATTAATACGAGATATATAAGTAAATATGCGTGTACCGTCCGAAAATTTCCAAGGACCGCCCCTTCCGTGCCGATCTTCCGAAAATATAATTCTGCTTTTCTCTCCACGAGTAAATAATAATAAATTGATATTACTGCTAGCATCGTCATTTAATATTAATATATTATCATTTACACTGAATAAAGTTCTTACTGAAAAAATCGAGAGAAGCCCCCTTGGAAATTTTCCGCGGATAAATCGGTTAATCGCACTCGAAATGAATGCACCAAACCGGTCCAAAGGCTGTTCTGAGACGGTTCGGGCCCCATTCGCGAGCTTTATCAAATGCTTCTTTCGATTCGATACCCTGCTACCGTCAGGCCGACGACGACTTAGCATGCACAACTGCTCTCCGAGGCTTTCAGTTCGATTGGCGTGTCCTTGAGCACTACCTCTTGCACTACGGATTAAAGAACGTATTAAGGAAAACACAAAAGTATAAACGCAAACAAATGGAACGTCCGGCGGGTAAGCTAAATAAATCCGGTTGAAATCAAGAGTGAGAAATTAGAGGAGACAGTTTGTCAGAGGTGGGAAAAATGCAACAGAAATTCGAGAAAGTGGGTCACGTGCCGATGAAAATCTGATGTCTCCAGTGTATCCTGGAAAGAAATATATCGGACAAGACAACGAATCCGAGGTGTGTGTGTGTGTGTGTGTGTATGTGTAAGAACCGATGAGAATCTCGTGTTTCTGGTGTCCTGAAAAAAGACCGCTATACTCTGATAACATTGAAATCAAGTGAAATTTAATATCCATTATCAAATGAAAACTTGAAATAGAACTAGAAAGAGAGAGAGAGAGAGAGAGAACTGCAGAGAGAGAGAGAGAGAGAGAGAGAGAGAGAGAGGCAGATATATAGATAGAGACGGTGTAAAGCGCGCGATTCGTGTCGATTCGACTCGAGGAGAAGGTGAGTGAGGAATAACGAAAAGTCGATAGTAAAAAGATGCGTGGGTGGGGGATCCGTGGGAGTAACGGGTGCGACGAGAATTATGTACACGCGAAATGAAGTCGCCGCGTGAATGTCTCTGCAAGAGTGTCATGCAAAAAATGCATGCAGTGAGTATCTTACGCAAAGGATACTGTCTTCGGGAGGCTTGTTTTCGGTGGAGTCCATACCCGGCAAAGCCGCCGCTACTCTTCTAAACAGCTAAAATTAATAATTAACGATAACGATAACACTCCGCCCTGCTCTCCGTCCGGAAAGGACTCTCCGTGCAAATGTCTCACTAACGTCTGCTGACATTTCCATGAGAGAGACGGATTAACGGAATCACTGCAAATTTGTCGATTTAGATGTAAAACGGTAACTCTCCGTGAGATAATCCACAATTTTGGAGAACATTAATTTGGAGTACTTGTATCTCCAATACAATTGACCATTATATCAAACAAATGATTTTAATGATAAATCTAGATATTAATAATTCTAATAGCGTGATGGGAAACTTGTCAAATTAATAACACGCGAGAGAAACATTTCTTTTCTTAAGGCAGACTTTATGGTACTTCATAAAATATGCAACCTAGAAAAGCGTGAAATGATACCTGTTTAACATTGTAGCCAGCCTTAGCACTAGTTTCGATAAACATCACATTTAGTTCCTTCGCTTTCCGCTCGCCCTCCTCCGTCGAGACTTGCCTCTTGTCACTCAAATCTGTTTTATTGCCCACTAGCATAATTATCACATCACTTCCTCTTTCAGTCCGCACATCGTCTATCCACTTGGATGTTTGGTGAAACGAGTTGGCGTCTAACGAATACGCAATCTTAATCTTACAGTTCGCTTATCAGTTGTATGTACCAATAAAAACGTTTGCCGGCAGCCAGACAACAATATTAGTTTTATTATCATCATTGTCATCACCATTAATGTGCTTCTCCGATCGAATTAAATGCATTTAAATTGAGAAGATTGCTAATTCCCCTACTTTATTATTGTGCGACAAAATTAAGATCAAATTTAATGCATTGTTAGGTGACTATTTAGTCAACAAATGTGGAATTCGGAGAGAAAATTTGCTGCTACCGGCGTACGACTTTTCGGTACACGTATTCCTTATATACCGGGTGCTTACTAGTAATATCGTAAACAACCACCGCGACTGTCGAATCTCTGATGTAACTAGGTATCAGAGAGCGGAACCGTTCTTGCCCCGCTGTGTCCCATAGCTGTAATCTCACGGTTCTATCCTCGAGATACATAGTTTTGCTTAAGAAGTCTATACCTATCGTAGCCTGTAACACACCGGATCACGATACTAAAATTACCCAATCGATCTCTCGTGTCATGCAGGAAAGGAAATTCTCAGATATGCAAACAAAATTGAAAATTAAATACAAAATTGGAAATGTCTCAACCTTTAGCATTAAAAGAGGACAATACTATTGTACTCTTGACTCGATTACAATGCAATAAGTTATTTTTATAAATATAAAATAAATATATAAATAACATTAAATGACATAAAACACATATTTCTTCTTTTACATTTAATAACGTAAGCATGTATTTTGTATAGAGATCTGTAAAATCTTAATAAACTGAAAAGCAATGAACACATTAAAAATTCAGGTATACACACACACATTTACTTTTCTTACAAAATTTCCTGTAAAACTAGCGACACGTCGAAACATTGCACCAAGTGAAAGAAAAAGAGGTTTTTGCTCGAAGCAGAGGAAGCATCGGTGCGGTAATTCAATTAAATAATTCCACGCTATCGCTTGCATTGCATATTTACATTGTGCCCGTTGCCAAACTTATTACAAGTGCAGAATTGTACAATAAATCAATCGCGTTGAGCGAAAAGTATTCCAGAATCTTTTTTAAACATGTGATTAATATATGGTGAAAAAATTATTGGAAAGGTGCGAGAATAGCGTACAACACTGCAATTTATTTCAAAAGAACGATAACAATGATAAAAAGTATCTAAAAATGGGGGAAAACGAAATATCGACCTTTTGTAAATTTCTTGGTCTTTTTCTACCTTTGTCGAATAGAAAAAATCGATATCTCAGTTCCCTATTGTCTCTCCTATTAGCATGAAATCTCATGCTAATTTCCTCGTTCCGTCTTTTCTCGCAATTTTTCTGCACGCGTTTATAATATACAAAACGAGTGAAAAAAATTAAGAGAAGAAAATACGAACGTAACGAGCAGTCGTCAAGCATTCGAAGGACACTTTTCGGTCAAGTTATCAAGTACACAGTGCATCAAAAACAAGCACATCATTAGGATAGAGGACAGCGATGAAAAATAAAATCAAGCCCACACAGCTTTTGACATGTAGTTTATTATGCAAACGAAAAAATTAGTGTCGACAATATTAATGAATCGAGGGTTTAAACCAAGGATTCGAGATATGGAGGATGTAAGGAAGGGGGAATATACAATGTGTGGTCACTGCAGATTGTATTTGTGTTAAAAAAAAATATAATCCAACAAGTAAATATGAACCGATATGAGAGAGCCGATATCAGCACGAATGTGAGTCCTTTTGAAAAGTGCTTTGAGAGAAAAAGTATTTTTCTTAGGAACCTCAGGACTGAAATTAGAAATGTCTTTACAAATAATTGGAAAGTTCAACCTGACAGACATAAATATCGTTATTCAACGAGATGTGAACTAATCTCGAATCAAATTGTGCATTAAAATGCGAATAAAATGATTTAAACGGATAAGTGCGTGCATGATACTCTAGCTGTTGTTCCCTTCTTATCTGAAGAAACTGTGTCAATGGGTGAAGGTTTCCCAATACTATTGCATACATGACAGTTTATAGGCAAATGCAATGGCTCTCATTCAGTACAGGGTTTATAAAGTTCAATAGACAAGTAGTACTGCCTGCTGAGTCATGCGAATAAATGGCAGTCGAGTTCCATTAATTCTCGAGGAATTATACTCTATATAAGAGTTTGTTCAATCTTAATGAGCCATATGCCACATGAATTCCTGATAGAATTGTAAAGTGAAATTCTCGAGACAAAAATATTTTCAATAAGTGTTTGTGGTATGAGTATGGGAGTAATATGTGGTATGAATATGGGAGTAATATATTACTGTCGTGTCCTGAAAAATAGCACAGCATGTACAATGCATCATACGTTGCACAACCTACACACATGCATATTGAGGGAAAACAGACAAAGGTAATGCGAGTGTGAAAGCATGCACCAGAAGAATGACTAATTAGTGCACACACGCACACACACAACAATTAATCATTAGGGGACACACGGAAGTCATTACATACCTGGTATGTGTTGTCAAAGCTGTCATACATAAACCGTGTAATAAGAGAGGTCTTCCCGACTGTAATGCAAAATTACATGTTTCTTTTATTGATAAAATTATTTATAAGGGATTATCTGTATATTTTATCGCCCTCTTTTTCAACTTCGCCCGGAGCACTGAATGATTTATCGGCGAAACTTGAAGTATTACCCCCTCGTTAAATTTGCATTTCGCGTACGTCGCGAAACGCCGACGAAATTGACACGTTCGGGCGAGATCGACGCTTAGGAGCGGCGACGTGTTCGACGCGAGGAGAAGGCCTCCCCGTGTCGGGCCGTATTCGCAATTCAACCCGGCCATCGCCATCGCGCATTTAAAGCACCGAACGCGGCGTGTTAATTAGCAAAAAGTATCGGCGTCAAGCAAAAACACTATTACAGAGCGCTAAATATGCGTTCAGACAGCTCGGGCGCAGTTATACACGGCGACGCCGTGTCATCGCGGACGGCGCGAGCGGTGGGGAATATTGATCCATAACCTAGAAGGCTACCAGGCGACGTCGGCAAGAAGGGTCGTCAGCCCGATTGGGGTCTGGCCGAGGGACCGGCCTTCGCGACAGCGCTGGGTCCCAATCGATTCGTACAAATCGTCGAAACGGCACTTGACACTCCGCGCGACCATGGAGGAACACTCACCGCTTTGCTCGCCGAGAAAGACGAGCTTGAACTTCCGCAACGGGTTGCCGAAATCGCCCGAGGACGACATGTTTTTCTCTCAGCCTGAGGTGACTGTCTCGCGGCGCCTGACCGGCGGGTCCGGGTAAAAACACAACTCGAACGATCGATTACGCGCTCTCTCAACGGCCGTTCCGTCGAGTCATTTAAGCGACCAGCTGTGCCGGCTGAGATTAAACTCTTCGTCAAACTGTCTCTCTACCACAGGCTGTGAACGGAGGCCGCGCTTGACAGCTCGCGACACTCGCTTGCTTGCCACTCCTAGCTTGCGAGGCGGCCACGTTTAACTGGGAAGTGACGTTGCGCGATTGCCGAGGATGCCGAGGAACCTAGACGGCGCCACGTGACTTCCGTGAGACGAGAGAGACAGAGTGAGTGAGAGCGAACGCGCGCGCCCAGCGGCGTCCGATCTCAGCACATTGATAAGAGATAACTGGAGAAAAAGTGAGCTAAGTCTTTGTGGGAAGAGGATCAAGAGAACAGAACAGCGAAGCTGCGGTTGGCTGTCGCCATTATTATCACCGTTATTCCGACGTATCGGATGATCGCTCGAAGAGCATAGCTCCAACATGGCGCGCATTCGGCTCTTCCCCCTCGTCGTTGGTTTCCCCCTCACACGGGTTCAGCTCGCTCTCTCTCTCTCTCTCTCTCTCTCTTTCTCTCTCTCTCTCTCTCTCTCTTGCTCTTTCTCACCTCTATGAATCATAGCCCGGTAAACTAGTTTGTATTTAAAATTATACTGAGAGATATCTCTTGCGGTAATCATAGGAAATTTATGATACATGCTTCACTAAATACATATGAATATTTGGAATACTTGAAAGATAGGATACCCTATCAATTATTACTATTAATAATTTACTATTAATTTACTATTAAATTACTATTAATAATTAATAATTTACTATTATTAGAATATTCTGTGACTATCTTATGCGATGTTTTTAAATAAAGAAACTGATAAATAGCATTAACATAGTACAGAATATATATATATATATATATTGCAATATTTATGTATATTATTATTGCTACATGTAAATAGCAGAATTGTCTTATATTTCTGATTTTGATTGGTTTTACTTGATTAAAAGATATTGAGAGTAACCATTGATGTGAAAGATTTCAATATTTCGATATTTTTACAGAAAAGAAAGAAAAAAGAGAAACGACGAAGGAAAGGCGTAAAAAATGCAGCTGGAAAAAAATTAATTATTATCTCATCGCGACAATCTTTATCTATTTATCCTTTTCCAAACATCATACACACGTTTACAAAATCAGAAATGCTTTATCCGCAGATTAGCCTTCATATGTTCTTCATGTTTTAAAAGGAATTAAAACTACAAAGTTATTCCCTCAATAATAAAAAAACTTGTGAAAGATCTAAAGAATGAAACTGGAGAAAGAAACTGAGAAACAATTTAACATTCATCACATTATTCAACTATACTTGTACCTTCATTTTTTCTTTTCGTTTTTTTATAACAAAACAACAACCATCTAGTCGGTTTTCCCTGAATCAAGAATGTAAGTTTCAGGAAGAATAGCCTCTAGTCGTAATAATATTTATTTTTTTCTTTTTCCCCTTTTTCTTTACACATATATACACGTCATGCACACGCTTCATCAACTCACATGCATACATAGGTACAAGCACAGCCACCCGTTATATATACACATCACAATATTTCGCGTATGGCAGCAACAGCAGAGCACTCAGTCAGTTTACTGTTGTTGCATTCTGTTGTTGTTTAAGTTCCTATAGGCATCCTCCACGACTATGGAATTACAAATGATGTCATAGCCGGTTCTGTTAAACCTGAAGAAGAACAATGAGAAACAGATGGGGAACAGAAAGGCGAGCACAAAATTCTTCATCATCGACCGACCCAGGGCCAGCGGCAGGCCCAGATCGGTCCCGGGTGTGACCAGGACTACGTCCGGCTCGTTAGGTCGCTCCACGGGAGTTACACTTTGACATTGGACCACCCGTAAGCCCATCATATACTTGCCGGGAGTAGCGCCTCCGATAAAACCATAGATGCCGTGCTGGAGCCAAAAAGCCTGAGACGTTTCAGAAAAGAAAAAGAAAAGTCACGCTCTTTCTTCGAGTTACAGGAGGAGGACATTCTCGTTTAGAAAGAAATTTTACGACAGATTGAAGTAGACAGTGCTTTCAAGCGTCCAATGACGTTCAATTATCTCTCGACTGCTCAATAACATGTCCCTCCGTTCAATTGAATCTCAATAATACTTGACAACATGTTCCTCCGTTCAATTGTGTTTCTTACCTCAAATATACAGACTATTACACGATGGATCACCTCTAATATAAGAATTCCGTAAGTCATCTCCAGCGCCATTTTGTAATCGATACGCAAATTTGTTTGCAATACATCTAGGTCCTCGATATCTCTGAAAAAGGACAACCGCTATGAGCTGTTACATCGGGCATATCACAAAGCGCTCAAAAAACAGCTGCTTACATGCGAAGAAGGAGGAACGATCTTCTCAGGACTTCTTGGAAGGAATGTCAAGAATAATAGACACAGAATTGAGACGGAGAATAGGGGAAGAAAATGAATCACGGCTTATAGAGAAAAGACAAACAGAGAAGAAACGGTAAAACGGTTTCGCATCTTGATGGGAATGTTATTCGTGAACAACCAATGCAATGCAAATACTCTCATTGGACGTGGAGCTTTGGATAAACGTGCGAAGCGTGGGTTGTTCCAACGAAATGACACATCTTACGTACATAAAGTCGAAGACATCAATCGCGATAAACGAGATCGAGAACTTCAGGAGGAACAACATCGCCGAATCGATAAATTCCGCGGCGAACCTTTTCCAAATCGGAGGGATGCGATATTCGTAACCTGAAACGAGTAAACCGCAGCTACAATTAGGAAAAAAGGCGCAAGAAACACAATTGCGGAGAAACATGCTTATGTGAGACACAAACTTTGAAGTAACTCAAATAAAGAGGGGCATTCGGACCTTCGGTTCCTGGCGGTTGGAAGGGTCCTGTCGGTTCCTGAGGCCTTCTCTGCCTCTCATTTTGCACATCTGCATTCCCTACTATTGGCCTGGTCGGCGCTGTGGATACCTGACTGGTTTGGAAGGGTGATGAAGCTAAAATCATAAAGCCTTCCATGAAGAACTAAACCTAAAGATTAACACGAGCTATTTTGATAATCCTACTTTCTATCATATTAATTGGCATGGCCCTTTATGTGTGTATAAACATCATTCAACCACGATATTCGTTACAATATCAAGAGCAGGCTGCTTCTATCTAAACAATCGTAACCCGTTGAACTCAGACTACACAAAACGCATGGTCATTTGAGTTTGCTCATACCTCGTCAGTTTATTCTTTCGAGATGTAAAATTAATTCGAGAGAAAACGACCGTTTGGTACTTTTGTCAAATACTTTGTCAGTAAAGTATCTCGAGGCGAATCTTATTTGTCTTCTACTCGTACGAGAGATCAACGAAATGTCTACGAACAAGAAGAAACCAAAACGCTTCACCTTTATCTCAAACATTCTATCTTTGTATTTCATCTTCGGCATGAGATCACTACAAATAAAACGTGCTAGAAGATCTCAATATATCGTTCTCGTACGGATATTAAGTCAACTCTAAATATGCAGAGATAATCTCTATCATTATTGTGCAATCAAGTTACTACATTAAGAACACACAATTTACAACTCTTCTCATACATTTTACATTCGTACTTTCTGTACTATTTAGTTCTGTATTTACTTCATGTCCGTTTTATTACATTTCATTTAGTAATTATCTATGTGTTTACATTTCTACATTTATGTATCTGCTCACACTTATATATTTTATGTCGCCTGCTCTACGATACGTTTCTTTTTTTTTTACTTTTCAAGACGATACACGCTCGTCCACGCTCATACCGGCAATCGGATTCACAACGTGCCCCGATATCACGTAATAAGGGAACATCGCGGCGACACTCTGCCAAGTGTACACCTCATTCAGCCACTTCTCCAGCTTCTTGAAATATTGCGATCTCTCTTCCGCCGGGTCCAATTTATCATCGGCCACCCGCTCCGACGAGTCGTCAATGTTTTTGTCAACTGCCATTTTACGCTACTGGCTCGCCTGCGGAAGAAAACAAAGTTGGTTCGCAGCTCGACGAGCTCTCGCGGTTCCCGCGAACGTCGCCTATCCCTCCGGACTTCCTCCCCTTTTGATCGGGACCGCTGACAAGACGTGACAATCGAGATTACGATCGTGGCAATGGTCACTTGCTCACACCGAGCCTCACTGGCATCAACGACCGACCGCGACTCCAAACGAGGAACAACACCGGAAGAAGGCAAACTACCGCGACCGATAACGCCGTTTATCGCGGTTAATCGCAGAAACGCTCTGTCAATACCTCTGTCGTGATCACAGCCACTACTACGCATCTATCTACGCTCGTGAACGCGCTAACCGTCACTACTCATCGTACTGACGTGTACAATGCTAAATGGGCGTTACAATGTAACGCGCTTAGTCAAGATAGCCCGACAAATTATCGTGGCGACGCACACAGCTGTTGGCTTTTCCCCCAGACCTCGAGGATGCGGGGAAAATTCTAGGTCAATGCCTAAAGCGCACCTTCGACGGACCAATCGAGACCTCAACACGCACCGTTAGAAGCAGACCTTGGGCTAGTACACGTGTACCAGCGGCGAATCGATCGCCGAGAAGCCGAGAGCGCTCCTAAGAGAAACTGCGACGAAAGTCCGGCTAGTTGATCCCTCGAATTTTCGAACGAGCATGTTGCAACAGTTTCGATTCGTGTTCACGGCCGACTTTGGGAGGAATTATGTCGGCGAAACATTTGGAAACAGATGTCCAAGGGAGACATCTGGTAGACGAGACTAGCACTATGTGCTAGAGATCTCAACTCTGGTTAAATTTGTCCAAAATCAGAACCATCATTCCACCAGAGACTCGTCAATACAGAGAGGCAACGAATTTGCGTCGTTTTTCTACTCTACTACTAAATTTCATTTCTACTCGGCTGCGAACCGAGCTGCGATATCGCACCTGCTCCAAAATGAGCTGCGACATCGCACCTGCTCCGAAACGTGAGCCGAGTATTCTTAATATTCTCCCGAAACGTCAAACTAACGCTTTTGTTTTCTTTAAACTGATTCAACTCTTCCTCGTCACTTCGCTCTCTATATTTAACGTCCGCATTAGCAATCTGCATCATTAGCAATAATTCCCACATAATTTCCTGCCGCGCTCTTGAATACATAATCACTCCGTTTCATGTAACAAACGTGAACTTCACATGTAACACGACGACTCTCCCAAATGTGCCACATAATAATAACAAATATGAGCGACAAACGAGATTGACTGTATGCACATACGAAATACACAAAAGTGTGACGGCGAAGAACAGGTGCAGGCCGCGCTAGAGACATTTCGTTGCTCGCCGCTGTTCTCCTCAGGCCCCCGATGACGTACCTCTTTGCCGGACGTGAGAGCTCGTGAAAAGTGGAAAACGTCATCGACGAATATATCGAATTCGAGACTTTCCGCGAGTTCGCGTCGTGGGAAAAGGCACATGCTCTCGAGACACCTTGGACAAGCTGGCGAGCGGCGCTCGGCTGTGCGCGACGCAGGCGAGAAACCTGAGGCGCGCACTTTCCCCTGGAAAGCGGAGGCAGCCTCTCGGCGGAGAAGGAGCTGGTTTTTCTGGTCATGCGAGCCCGACGTGCTCGCAGCCCTGCTTCAGTAACCACGGTGCGTCGGTGCGCGTTTCCGACTGATGAGCCAGCCAGCCAGCCAGCCAGCCAGGCGGGCGGGTCGTCGTTGTGCGTGGATTGTTTTCACGGGAAAATCAGGTGGCGGTCGGCCGTGCTTGCACGCGTGATTGCACGCGGGTGTCGCAGGGGAGAGAGATCGCGTGGGAGCGTCGCGTCGCGACGCGTCGCGCCGCGGCGACAGTGACAGCTCGGAACCCGAAGAGGGTGTGGGCCGCGACGCCGCCGCCAGCGGATGCGCTTAGGTAAGGTCTCTTATTCGTAGACGACACCTCTCTCGCGTGCTTGCTTGTTTGTTCGTTTGCTTGCCTGTCTGCCTGCCTGCCTGCTTGCGTGCGTGCGTGCGTGCGTGCGTGCGTGCGTGCGTGCGTGCGTGCGTGCGTGCGTGCGTGCGTGCTGCGTGCCTGCGTGCGTGCGTGCGTGCGTGCGTGCGTGCGTACGTGCGTGCGTGCGTGCGTACGTGCGTGCGTGCGTGCGTGCGTGCGTGCGTGCGTACGTGCGTGCGTACGTGCGTGCCTGCTTGCCTGCCTGCCTGCCTGCGTGCATACGTGCGTAAGTGTACGTTGCCGGACAGAGAGAGCGCGTTCGAGACCGGCGAACTCTACGGCGACGACCCCGAGAGACGACCCGGATTCTCTCCCCATAAGATTGGAACTTCCGCGAGAGAGCGAAGATTCGATCGCGAAATCGTAACTCGCGCTGCGCTTCTCGTGTTCGTTTCTTTCTCTCTTTTTCTCTCTCTCTCTCTTCCTCCTCTCTCTCTCTCTCTCTCTCTCTCTCTCTCTCTCTCTCTCTCTCTCTCTCTCTCTCTCTTTCTGTTTCTCCATGGAGAGGAAAAAGTGGAGGAATGTGACTAACGCGATAGTGGTTTTCGCGTGGCCGCGAGAATTATCGAGAAGGCCTTTTTTTCGGAGGGAAACGGGAAAGCGTGTCGTTACGATTTTTCACGCGCGCCTCAGGCAAGGTCGGAGTGGCCAATACCTGTTCCTCCGGGTCATTCCCACGAAACGTCAGCCAGCCGGAATTCCGTGAATTCCTCCGACAGCCTCGACTCGAACTCGAGAGTGCTCTACGCGAGCTCTCGGCCACGTCTCATCGTCAGATCACGTGTAACGGCAACGACGCAGGTTATATCGCTAATTCGTTGCAAAGTGACCGGTAGCGATTGTTTAACGGCATTATTAATCATGTGTGTCACATATCCGCCCACAAGCGTACGGGCTCGTCTCTCTCGAGCGGGGTGCGAAAGACTCATCGTACCGCTTTTCCCGAGCACGTTGTAACAACCGTGCGTTACCGCTCGCACCCTGGAGATTTGTGCCCGATAAATGGATATCCCACTGTAAAGTTACCCCATAAAGAGACATTGAGATTCCACGGGCGCGACGGGAAACTCGTCACGTGCTTCGACCAAGTCGCGAGAAGAACTTTATACAAGTAACCGACAGTCACGTTATGTTAACGTGCAATTGAATGCGCGATGAATCGGTAAAAAGAAAGAAAGGAGAGAGAGAGAGAGAGAGAGAGAGAGAGAGAGAGAGAGAGAGAGAGAGAGAGAGAGAGAGAGAGAAAGAGGGAGAAAGAGGGAGAAACGCGGAGGTTATTATCCCTGTGAATAAGAGAGACTTCTATTGTATTTCGGTCTTTCAGGAAAATCCCTGAGTGACCCAAGAGACCACCGGCCGGTCTGGTCTCATTCATAATTTCGCGAATCAATTTGGACTCTCCTTCGGCGAGAATACCGAGAGAGCTCATTATACATCGAACACACGTTTGAACTCCGACATTGTCATCCTTGTGATCATACGCCCAATGAAAACTTCAGTCCGGATCGACCGCAGTCGATTGGCCGACTCGCGCGAGTATAACGAATAATACATGCTACATGCTACGTTCTTTCGGTCAAAGTTTAGTTCGCTGCAAGTCTCTTATCTTCCTCGGTATCTTCGCCGAGAGACACACAAGCTTAACACCGGCCGAGTAAATCCGTAACGCCAAGGATATCCGATGGTCTCGGTACAGGCCCTGTACAGGCCGAACGGATTACGCGAAGAAATCGAAAGGCGATTCCATTTGTCACGGTAGACGCGACACAATAGCCGTCTCCGAAGATTGCCGCTGATCATCGCCGCGGTTTATTGCCGAGGACGATCAATCGCCGCCTCTTCGACCGGATCTTCTGCGTCCCTCTTGTTCTCTTCCTGACTTCGCTCGGTTGCATAACGTTCATTATATCAATTAGTAATTGATCAATTAGTAATTTATGAATACATTTACACGGCAACATTGACTCGGTTTTGTAATTACCATAGTTAGTGAGCTCTTGCACTTAATTGGAGTATATCTTCAAATCTGAAAGAACGTATGTACGTATAAATACCAATCAGATGCAAAAAATCATTAACTACGATTACTACGAAACAGGATTAAAGCTGCCGCGTAAACACAGTCGCTGCTTGTATACTTTTTTATGCCGCGATTCGCGTTAATTAATTAGCGGGACCCCCGCCGGCGGCTGATTTGCGCGAGTATCTTATCGCGCGCGAATTTTCGTTCGCTTTAACTTCGAATTTGCCGTTGCTTGCAACAGCTTCTCGAGCGCCACTTTGGCCTGTAATCCGTGTTGACACGTGTTGACCGTGTTGACACGTTGTGTGGTCGCTTGATAAAATTTTGCACCTTGACACACAGCGCGAGATGAACTAAGCGGCAATGCTTTGATGCTGCACCACGTACGAATCGCAGTAACGCATCGAAGACTGTCACAATGATTATTACGAAGGAGCTTTAATGTTATCGCGCTGCTGCGGGCCATCATTTTCGCGGAAGGTATCGTTCGTGCGCAACACGGGCATTTAAATATTTATTCACGAGGTGCATTTGCCACGCGCGTGCATTCACCTAAAAGAGTTCCTTCATAAACCAAGCGGCCACTAAAAGCCGCAGACGAGCCATGTCGTGCGCGATTATCGTTATCGATGCGAGTGGATTCTCCGTCCGGTGCGATAACGACGGAAGGTGTGTGTGTGTGTGTGTTTGTGTACGTGCGCGCGTGCACGTTTATCCGTATATTGTTATCGGCGAGACATCGTCAATGTTGCATCCACAAATGTGTGGTTTCTGACCCGCGGTATCGAAAATCGAACACGACTGGCAGGTCGCGACTCCGTCTATCGCGCCGATCGATAGACTCGCTTTACCGCCGCTTTTCATGTGACGCTAATTGCATTCCGCCGGAAAAATGCATCCTCCTCCGAGTGCAGTCGCCGACTCAATCGCCGTTAACGTTATCGAGAAGCGATCGCTGATAATGAATATCGTCGCGATAAGCTCGCGTTCTTCCTCGGAGGAACGCGACAGATGCAATAGACGAGCTTACGGCTAAGCCGGAGCCTTGAGCTTTTTGTTGAAGAAGAGATCCTCGAAGAATTGAAAATCTCTCTCTCTCTCTCTCTCTCTCTCTCTCTCTCTCTCTCTCTCTTTCTCTCGCTCCGTCTTCGATTTCGCGAGGAATTCCGAGAGAAATCGAACGTCATTCCGCATTACACACACTAAGCCCGATAAATAATATTCAATCGGGTAACGCGAGGATATAAATGGCAAAATTGCTTCTGAGGCGATCTCGTGTAGAAGAAACAACAAGAAACGTAATTAATACTGCATCCTAGAAAATTACATTAGAAAAACATAAGACATTATATAAGCTCTTCGTGTAAAAATGCGAATTCTGTTGCGTCTGTAAACGGCGCTTCAAGCAACGAAACACTTATGAAATATTAATTTCTGTCTTCCTCAGCGTGATCGATCTCGCCTGTTTTTTATATTTTCGTTTCCAAGCCACTGACTCAACATCTTTTCTTTTTTCTTTTCACTAGTCGCTTTCGCCTTTCATGCAATTCGCTCGTCTGTTCGCGTCACGGACGCTCATGTTCACGCACAGCGCGACGTGCAACGGCGGCGAAGATAAATGCATTCCGTATGCAGCGACCAAATATAAACATGAATCGCGCTATTCTTTTTGCCGCTAATTATCAGCAACCGCATCGATGACCTTGGCGTTATCGATGATCGATAGCAGCATTGCCGAAGACTATCACGATTAAATGAGCCGGTTAACGATTCGCCCAATGCACAAACGC